GTCTCTTTAGGAAGTAATGAGGTACTACAGGGCCAGTGACGCCTGCAAACAGTCCTTTCTGACGATGTCGTGGTATCCGGAAATAAGTCAGGCGAAACGAACTATCATAGGAAGAAACAAATCAATCCTTTTAGGAAGGCAGTCCAACGTAGTAAAAAAGGCAGAAATCGCGTGGGAGGGGAATATGTTGCTTTTCTGGAGTATTACTTGAAGGCTTTATCGCGACCATTTTCAGATCGACGAAGGATCTTGTCAAGCGCAGCTACTAGAAGAGAGAAAGCTTGTCGCATCTAGAATTGGAAGTATTGTTAATTCGCCATTAAACGACTCGGTATGTTTATCTGCTTCACACGGGAATTTCCCCTTGAAGAATTTAAGTTGTGCCTGGAAATTTCATGAAAAGCCTGTCCGTCACATGTGGTGGACACGGTCCCAAATGTACATCTCGGTGTTCACCACCAGTGGCGGACATAGTCACGAATGGGCGAAAAAGAGTGCCATGGCCTGAATGACCTCCCTTGTAATTAGAAACAAAGAAAAACAAATATCGGGGAAAGGAATACACTCCAAAGCACAGATGATCCCCGTTCCCTTTCTTGTTAATGAGTTTTTTCGTAGCTAGGCACCAAGTTCGCACCTCATTGACGCACCCAGGTGCGAGCCACCCCTTAATTAGGTGCGATCGTACCAGTTATCACTGACCCTATAGTCGATTTATGAAAGAAATTCATTGGTGGTAACGTGTTCCCTTTGTATTGATTTTTTGATTTTGGTTTTCGAACGAAGTTGGTGTTCATTAGTTTGAATGCTTCAGAGTTACAACGACTACGTAAACTCACTAGCAAAATCACTGAAGGCTGCTCTCAAGGAGAAGAAAGTGCGCCATGAGGAAGCTGCATCAAGTGTTAGTTTCATTTAAAAGGAACGTATTTTCTCAAGAAATGAGCCCTATGTTCGTGAGACTGTAGCTCCAGGGTATCCCTTTATCAAATACTGCAGTGAAGCTGCGAAAAAAAAATTTGAAACAAGCCATAAAATCGCGTTTCAAACAGTTCCTAAGCTATTATTCAACAGCAGTACTATGGAAAGTAAGCGTATAGCGGGAACTCAACAAGAAAAACTATTCAGCGCTCTGAATCAGGTTGACTCTAATCAGGTTGACTTACTAGTGGTCTTGATTAGAGCCTTCATCATCCGTGGAATTGACTTCATAGGAGCTTCAGGGGTCTCCGGGCCTCAAGGGTCTCATGTTGTCATCCTAAAGGTGCCGACCGTCTTCCAGGCACACTTAATTCATATCCACGATATTTCTATGCACAAGTCAAGGAAAACCAAAAAATAATTCGATAGAAAACTTCGATTTTTCTGAACTGTCCAAGTTTTTTTTTTCCACAGCTGCAAATGCCATACGCGCTCAGATACTTATTTGATTACAGACCTCAAATCATGAAACGCAGGCCGAATTGGAAAGCTACAGAAGTGCTTTTCATAGTCTGGTCAGTCATTGCGTCGTGTTTTCTATGACTAACGTGAAATAGCTCCCGAACACTGTTTTCCAGGCATTGCTTCTGTCGCAGATTGAAATGGGTGTCAATGAGCGAGAATCATTCTACAAGGAAAAAGTTGCTCAATTGGAGAGTGAATTGGACAAAGCAGTAAGACATTTGTTCTTGTATGAAGGGAAATTTGGCAAAGTTTTGGTGCACTTTTTGCTTTCGGCAACTGCTCTACATTATAGTGTAGGCAAGGTCTTGTCATTAGATACAACTAGGTTACTTGGTACTACTTACAATTTAGCTTCTAGGTTGGACGGGAAGATTCGGTGGACTTTTCTTTTACCTTGTCATATCTCTGGTCTTCAGAGGATTTGTTTGGTACCCACTAAATATAATTCACTAAGTTTGTCACGTGGTGTGTGTTGTATGTTTGACCGGAAATTCATACTTCCTTGCTTCTAAATTCGTACTTCATTCTTCCGGTAGGGCGTACTAATCTACAGAGAATATGGCAAGCACTTTTGGAACAGTCCTTCCCATTGTGGAAATTGAAGAGACTTTGCTCTCCCATCCATGAGTCCTGGTTCTTGCCTAGGGTGAGTGGGTCCATAGCTGCAGGAGCATGCCTTTTTTCGAGTAAAGGTGCACGGGAACGCAGCAGGAGGAAACTGCTGCCCGGAAGCCTCTCCATGCTCTGCCCTCCTTGCTGCATGACCAGCTACGCGCCTAACCATAGCAAAACGCGCTAGTTGTCTGCGCTGTCTCATTTCTGGCTGTTTCTACGTCTGAATACGGGACCTTGGTATTGATGCAAGAACTGCACATGGAGGATAGCTTGAGCTGAGCATAGAAACGACAGTCGGGTATCACCATCCTTCAGCCCGCTTCCCGTGCAGTTTTGAGGGGAGAATATGGCACGCTGCTGCAGCTGCGGATCCTTCCCCCACCCAACATAATATGGCCGTCCTCAGAGGTAGGTGTACAGTTTGACTCTGAACGGCTGAGGCGGCGAATGAGGAGGCTGGGTCGTTAGGTTCTACACCATCTGATGCCCAACTGCATTGATCGCTGGATGGGGACGACGTACAGTCGTCATCCGGGCACTTAATTAGACGACCAAGGGTCGCGACGCGACTGCGGCGCGTCACGACCAATCGACCAGCTGTTTTCAGCCTCATTTGGCCATTTTCTCAATAATTCTCACTGTATTTTCTATTTTGAAGGT